CAATCGAACGCTGCTGGCACCCTCCCGCCTGACTAGAATCACTACTCTCGGCGGGTCTGACTTAGAATATGTGGACAACTACAAATACCTAGGTGTCTGGTTAGACTGTAAACTCTCCTTCCAGACTCACATTAAGAATCTCCAATCCAAAGTTAAATCTAGAATTGGCTTCCTATTTCGCAACAAAGCCTCCTTCACTCATTATTTTTGCTCATTTGCACCCCAGTATCTCTATTTGCACATCATCTCTTGCACATCTATCATTCCAGTGTTAATACTAATTGTAATTATTTTGCACTATAGCCTATTTATTGCCTTACCTCCATAACTTGCTACATTTACACACACTGTATATATATTTTCTGTTGTATTTTTGACTTTATGTTTTGTTTTACCCCATATGTAACTCTGCTGTTGTTTTTATCGCACTGCTTTGCTTTATCTTGGCCAGGTCGCAGTTGTAAATGAGAACTTGTTCTCAACTGGCTTACCTGGCTAAATAAAGGTTAAATAAAATAAAAATAAAAAATACCTTACCTCATATTGCTGTCTTGGCACAAACCATGTTACGGTTGTCTGTCCGATTCTTTGACATTTTTGTGTGTCTCTCTCGCTCTCTCTACTGTGTGTTTCTGCTGCTTGTCTGTATGACAGATGCTGGTATTCATACTGTTTTTCCACTTGAACAGAGCAAGGTGATTTCCTTGGGAGGTAGGCTGCAGGGGCTGAGGATGGTGCTCACTGTACCACGAGTAATCCACTCCGAGAGGAGGCCCAAGCACGCAGACACACAAACCATCATTGACCGATAGAATGTGACACACACCAACTAACTCAGTCTCATATAGTTTGTCAGGAATTCTTCAGTATTTATTTACATTTGGAGGGATGGGTTCATAATAATCCAAAACAAATATCTAAACCATCTGTTTGGGTTAGGATGGAATCAGAGGGTGAGGACGAGTTGGTTTTCCTGCTGACGTTGATGGAAGAAAGGACACCCCACCTGACCCGGCTTTATTCCTAGTCACTGCCGTTTACATGTCAACAATCATTAACTCAACTGAAGGAGTGCTCCGTTGGTTTACTGTGTGGGAAGGCCAAAGACAGTAAAGCAGAAGTGAGAAGCATTGGTTCTTATCTTTATTGGAGGCATAAGGGCTCTCCCTCTCTCTTCTCTCCCTCTCTGTTCTCCATCCCCCCTAGACTTTCATGAGTATGGGACTTTGACATGGGCTGAACATTTAAGCTCTGGAGCTCTGGATGGGCCTGAAATGGTAAAGGAAATGCAGAAGCTGCTGAGACATTCCACAAGGAAGCCATTTTATTGGAGGATAAATTATTTCCATGCAGACCGCTGAGTCCGCTAAGCTGTGAGACAGACCGAGCTTTAATCAGATTGTAGCTGCAAGGACTCAGGCAGACCTGGTCACAGTCAAGGCTCCTGAAAAGAGCCTTGTTCTCTCTCTATCTCTATGAGTCTGTGTGTCTTTGTGTCAAACAGTTGTGTACATGTGCTTTCTTGCGTATCTCATTTGGCATGCTTTGCCTAATCGCAGGGATGTACTTCTGTAAAGGTTGTCGATACAGTATCAGTATCCGTTGTTGATCTTATTTACAGGGTGTGTGGGTACTGACAGTTATATGATCGTTTAACATTAACAACACATCTCTGTCCTCTGAGTCAGAGGAATGTAAAATCCTAGTGTTAGTCACAGTAAAGACTCATAGTATTAGCCCATGATCTGTGCACAAGTTTTCTGAGAATGGGTTTCATGTATGGTATAACAGGCCCATGGAATTGACTAGCCTGCTCTCTTTCTCTATCTCCTCCCTCCCTGTATGCGTATGGACTGAGTCTGTGTGAAGCGCCAGTGAGGAGGGCTCCATGGGGACGGCCTTGGTATTGTTCTCTCACAGAGGAAGTGTGTTGGCTGGAGTCCACCAGTCAGTCCCTCTGGGTCTGTCTAGATCCTAAGCCAAGGCTAAACACTGCCTCGCTCCCAGGCAGGGCACAAGCCATGGGAGAGAAGAGAGACTTCCCTTCCCCTCTCGCTCTACTTTTCACTTTCTCTCCCCCTTTCTCCCCGTCTCCTCCAGCACAGCTCAGACAGGGGGAGAGGAGGAGACACCCGCTTTAGGGTGGAACTGGAATCCATCCCTCTCTCTCTTTCCATCATCCCCCTCTCTTTCCCTCTGTATCCCAGAACACAGCATGATAGAGTGACTCACCTCATCTGGCTCAGGGCTGGGCTGTGTATAGATCTGTGGTGGTGATGATACTGACAGTTTCTCTATCTATTCTGAGCCTACAGACAGTCTCTGAAGTAGGAAGGTAAGCCTGACCTCCGAGCACATCTCCCTTAGGTGAAATCAGCTGAGTCTGACTGACTTTGGTACAGCCCAGCTCCACTGTTCCCTCCTAGACTTAGCTGGACTGTACAGTCTGTTTCTTTTCACCTTAGTTGGGTTAAATCTGACTCTTGGCCTGAACGTCAGGGCTGAAGTAGGGAACATGTAGGCTAGGCTAGTCTCTCTGGCTGGTGGTGCCAGACTGTCGTGGAGCTAAACTGGCTTCAGAGTCCAATCTCACAGAATGATCTAATCATCACTGTCCTGTCTCTATCTGTCAGCAGCAGCTCAGACATCAAAGCGGAGAGGAGAGGGATCAACCCAACACAGTAGGGCAGGAGACCAGTGGTGTGAATTAAACTTGAGTCAGTATCAGTCAGAATAGGGAACAGGAATGTCAATGGTCATAAATGAGATCACTCCACTTTTAATCCATCCTCTAAGCCTCCTCTATAGGCTCGGACTGGCTACTGATATCATGTAGGCTAGATGTTGACTTGTTCCAAGTAGGCCTACAATTAATGGGGATTGCCTCGGCTATGTGTGGTTGTGGAGAATGTGTATAGTGCCTACTGCATAGGCTAACAGTGGAAAGAGGAAGAGGGTAACATGAGGACAGACAGCTGAAAGTATGTGCTGTCAGCTGTATTGACTGTTGTGTGTTTTCAACATTTCCCTCTCAGCCCAGCACTGTTATAAGGGATCTCTTGGAAAGATACAACATTGACCTTGTCTGGATATATATATCAGGCTATCTTCCATCCAAAATATACAGTAAGGCCTGTTCTGCCTTTTACTCTATAGACAAGTAGGGCTGGAATTGCCAGGGACCTGACGATACGATATTATCACAATACTTTGGTACCGATATGTATTGCGATTTGATACTGTGATTATATTGCGATTCAATGTTCCAAAGCTTCCAAGCTATCAAGGAAAAATACTGGCTTTTTGGTACAGGGACAGCCAACTAGCACAAAAATAATATTGCGACATTGTCAAAACGATACGATATATCGTCAAAAATAATATCCCGATATGTAACTCAAAAAATGTTTACCCATCTCTAGAGACAAGGGGTAGCTGGTTCGGCTATGAAACACCTTAACTGGAGTGTGTCTCTCTGTACTGTGTCTCTGTAGCTTTCCTTTCAGTTGATGAAATACAGCCTGGCACACAGAAATAAAGTAGTGACTCAACATATGGTTGTTATTCCATATGACTGGTTCTCATTCATGGCTCATTTAATTCAATCCATCATGTACATGTCACTGTAAGATCTCATACGGTCGTTCAGTCTCCCTCCAACCCTAACCTCCCACTCTCTTTCTCCCTATCTCTCCATCTCTCTCTCAGGACCAGTTTGAAAACCTTGACAAGCACACTCAATGGGGGATCGACTTCCTAGAGAGGTATTCAAAGTTTGTCAAGGAAAGGCTGGAGATCGAACAGACATATGCAAAACAGTTGAGGTAAAACCATATTCAAACCCCCTGGCCCACTGATTTTGATCTTTCAATTCCATGGAACTGTTTTGAGGTGTTTTGCGTACATTGAATAATTAATTGACGAGTACGCCTATTCTGTGTTATACATGCATATTAGACATTAGTAGTTCTGTATATTAACCTTCAGTATGTTCATCATGTTATATCAAAGTGCTAGATAATGAAACATCAGTACGATTCATTATGAAATGATGTGATTGGATCTGTTTTAATGAATATCTGAGAACATCAGTACGACCACTCTGCCTGAACAATAGGGGCCACTCAGCCCAATCAGACATGGTTGTGCTGCCATGAATTGATTTTGGTGGGCCACAAATCAATATAATAGGCTTAGCCACAGAACAAATGGATTTGTAGGAGGTGGCTCCTGACCAGTCTCTAGACAGTAGAGGAGTAGGGCCTACAGATCTATACCCACTATATGCAATTGGATTACTTTCTCAAGTCTGTATCCTTCCTGACATCCATGTGTTATCTTTTGGAGCAAATCTACCGATGAGCAAAACCCCTAACAAGGACTTCTAAAACTACATTGATTCTACCAGTTCTTGAATTAGAGTGAGACCACTCGTTTAACAAGATTAAGCTGGGAATAGGAAGATGTAGGCTCTGGTTAGTAAACCATAGGTGACCACTCACTGAAACTGCCCACACACACATTTGGCTCATATGATGTCACCATGACATGATGGGGTTAAACTTCACACCTGTTTCCTGCTTAATCCTCCCCTCTACTCTGAGCTACTGCCATGGCTAAGAGAGCATTACGCTCAGTCTCCTTTCCTCTCACGTGGTCACTTTTATTAGACTGGTTTGTTTTCCCAAAGAAAAGCCATATGGAAAGGAGGTTGTGTCAATGCTAACACATTTAGTTGTATGTATGTATTTTGTACCTGTGTGTAACTGGTACCACATCCCATATCAGACGCCATAAGCGCTAACATTCTAGCCAACATAAAAGGCAACCTGCCATAAATATCTCTGTTAGTAAGATTGACAAACAACATTATATCAGCAGTGTGCTGTCACCGCACAAGGGAATGTAATATTATTCCTAGTATTTCCCAGCATCCGTGCTACACCATCTGGCTGTGTGTGTTGGTGTGTTCCTCCGCTTAGCCCAGTCCCCCTGAAGCTATGTCATCACTGCTGCCTGGCCTGCGGGATGGTAATGTAGAGGGCTCCAGCTGTGGCCTCTGCAACCCCCAGGAGGCTTTACCCCCCCCCCCCCCCCCCCCCCCCCCCTTGAGGTGTTGCCTAGTGACAACACTGCCGCTGACCAAGTCCCCCCACAGTCTCCTTAGCATGTCATGAGCCACCTACTGTAGCCCCTCAGTAAGACAAGCACCATGTGTAACCCAGTGAATAATTTAACCAGCTATGATTTATGGGCTGAAAATGAGGAGCTCCTGATTTATCCCTTATGCATTCTTAAAACGTGCGTTACTTAAGTGATAATGCCCGAGAAGATGGTGTTTGTTGGATATATTGGCACGGTGTTAAAATAAAATAAATAAATAAATAATTGGTCATTTAGCAGACGCTCTTATCCAGAGCGACTTACAGGAGCAATTAGGGTTAAATGCCATGCTCAAGGGCACATCGACAGATTTTTCTCTTAGTGGGCTCGGGGATTAGAACCAGCGACCTTTCGGTTACTGGCACAACGCTCTTAACCACTAAGCTACCTACCGCCCGTCGAGGTTCTACAAACCGTGCCAATATATCCAACAAACACCGGCTTCGAGGGCATTATCACTTTTATACAACGGGTTACCAACATATTAAAATAATGATTGACACATTTTCATTAACGTTATTTTTATCAATTTATTCGTACTATTTCATTCTTCCACAAGATATAGTCCCGACACAAATCTAGGGTTGCTAGAGACGCGACCCAGTCATTGGTTATTTTTGTTCTGTATCTATGGACGCGACCCAGTCGTTCGTTCTAAATGTTCCATTGCCATACTGGCTGGCAACGTTATTATCCCTTGCTTGCTAGCTAGCCAACTACGGCTAATTTACAGTTAAGTCAAAGATTTAAGACAGAATAACAGCCAGCAAAATAGCTGCACTTGTATTTGTTTAAGCTGTTTTCTAGTGACATTTATTTGCATACATCCATAACAATGAGCTAATGAGGCGTGATTTCGCCTGGCATAGAGAATGTGCTCACTCGTCAGGACACTGTTGTTCAGAGGAGCTAGCCAACAACACAGCTACAGTAACACAATCACTTCAAACTGAACCTGGAAAGACTGCACATTAGCTGCGTTTCGTTTTACCTTTTTTCAATTTAATTTTTTTTTGTATATCCATAAAAGTTATTCCAACTGATTCATGATTTCGACTGGCTGAGAAACGCTGCCTGCCTTTCTGTCTCATTCCAGTCAGGCACTTAATAAACTTGATCTCCACTATAAAAAGCATCTAGACATTATCTCACATTTTCTTATAGACTACATTTAATTTTCAACAGTGGAGATTTGTATAAACCTTGCTGTCTGTCTCTCCGACATTTGCAACATTGTTTCAATATTCAAATTCGATCTCCTGCTGTCCCATAGTATTGAACGTGTCGGGAGTCGGGACGAGACGGAAAGGCAGGCAGCATTTGTCAGCCAGTCGAAATCATGAATCAGCTAGCATAATTTTTTTGGATATATAATTTTTTTTTGGAGAAAAGGTACAACGAAACGCAGCTAATGTGCAGTCTTTCCAGGTTCAGTTTGAAGTGATTGTGTTACTGTAGCTGTGTTGTTGGCTAGCTCCTCTGAACAACAGTGTCCTGACGAGTGAGCACATTCTCTATGCCAGGCGAAATCAGGCCTCATTAGCTCATTGTTATGGATGTATGCAAATAAATGTCACTAGAAAACAGCTTAAACAAATACAAGTGCAGCTATTTTGCTGGCTGTTATTCTGTCTTAAATCTTTGACTTAACTGTAAATTAGCCGTAGTTGGCTAGCTAGCAAGCAAGGGATAATAACGTTGCCAGCCAGTATGGCAATGGAACATTTAGAACGAACGACTGGGTCGCGTCCATAGATACAGAACAAAAATAACCAACTACTGGGTCGCGTCTCTAGCAACCCTAGATTTGTGTCGGGACTATATCTTGTTGAAGGATTTAATAGTACGAATAAATAGTGTTGTATAAAAGTGATAATGCCCTCGAAGCCGGTGTTTGTTGGATATATTGGCACGGTTTGTCGGCCCTCGACAAACCCCCGTGCCAATATATCCAACAAACACCGGCTTCGAGGGCATTATCACTTAAATAGACACCGGCTGGAATGCGGTTTTAACCAATAAGCATTCAGGATTAGACCCACCCGTTGTATAAACGCTGATAGGCTACACGCGGTGGGTGGAACGAGTGTCTTCTACAATTTCTGTAGAGGAATTTCTCCCCTCACTGACTCCCTGGACAGTCACTCTGTTCAGGTACAGTGCCTAGTGAAAGTATACACAGCTCTTGCACAGTCTTCACATTTTGCTGCCTTAAAATGAAATACAAAACGTGATTTCAATTGTTTGTCTTTTTTTTGTGTGGATAAATGTTGCCCTAAGAGTTGTTCAAAGTTGCTAGAATCTTATTCAAAATTATTCAGAGCTGTAATGGCTGCCAAAGGTGCTTCCACCAAGTATTACCTCTGGGGTGTGAAGATGGATACAAAATCAAGACATGTTTTTTATTTTGTATTAATTTGCAACATTTTCAATAACTTTTCTTCCACTTTGAAAATGTGGAGTAGGTTGTGAAGATTGGTAGGAAAATTCCCTTTTTGGATTTAATTTTGAAGGTCCAATGCAGAGGTTTTTATCTCAATATCAAATCATTTATGGGGAACAATTAAGTACCTTACTGTGATTGTTTTAAATTAAAATGATCAAAAATAGCTTGTTAAAAAAAAAAGTGGGTGAGGGGAAAACAGAACATTTGCTGTTATTGGCAGAGAGGTTTGGAACTCCCTTATTGATCTGTTAATTTACCACATGGTGATGTCACCATGGAAGCCCAAAACTGCTTCCCACCAAAACAGGCTGACATTTCAGGTGGTCTTTTCAAACAGCTCTTACACTAAAAGGGCGCTGACATTTCAGGTGGTCTTTTCAAACAGCTCTTACACTAAAAGGGCATTTTAGTATAATTTTCACAATTTCACAGTATTATTCCAACCTCAGTGTGGAAATATATATAAAACATAGGAAAATCATGTTTTTGACTGCACTGGGCCTTTTTAAGGTAGCAAAATGTGAAGACTGTACAAGGGTGTGTAGACTTTCACTAGCGACTGTATTGTTCTGTGTAATTCATGGAGAGGCACCAGACCAGGCTGATGTTTCTCAGTCTGTGTGTGGGGAGCTACTCCCCTGGCCCCCTGCTCCCCAGGACAGGGAAACAGAGTGCTGGGTTCAGTGGAGACTGGAGAGGGGGCAGGGGGAAAGACGGGTCTCTGGATTCCTCCTCCATTCATCCCTGAAGAGCAATTGGAGCCAGAGCGTTTTATGTACTGCATGCCTGAAGAGCACCACAGCATAGCACTGTACTACAGGAGCATCTCTCCAGAGGGACTACTTTATCAAAGAGAACAAGGGACTACTTTATCAAAGAGAACCATGCCTTTGTGTTGCTCCTGGGAACAACAGATGAGAGCGCAGGAATATCACACTGTGCCAGTTTAGCTGTGTCTGTCTGACCAACTTTATCTAGTATCTCTGTCTCAGTGGAGAATCTGACTGACGGAAATTAACTGAGCTATCTAATCTCTGTCTCTGAACGTCTGTCTCCTCTCACCTCTCACCTCTCAGGAACCTGGTGAAGAAGTACTGTCCCAAGCGCTCCAAAGACGATGAACCTAGGTGAGTAGAGTAGACCTAGTTTCATTAAATAGTTAACCTGTGAGCGGTATCCGCTTTACACCACACACACATGGCCTTCCCACTAGACCTGCCACCAACAAACACGGGCTGCCATGGCAACCCAGCACTTTTAAAGGTTTAATTGCTTCCATAGAATAGAGTAAGAGAGTTAGAGCTGTGAAGGATATCTGGCTCTGACGTATGGTCACAGTGCTTGGCCACTCCACGGTGACATTATTGGCTGCTAATGCACAGGAATGATCTCAAAAGAGAGGGCTGGGGGGGAGGGGGAGAGCGATAGAGGCACAGAGAGAGAGAGACGGGGGTACAGCGAGAGAGAGAGAGGGGCACAGCGAGAGAGAAAGAGAGAGAGCGAAAGAGAGGCACAGTGAAAACAATGTACTGAGCAAATGTCAAATTGGCTTTTTGCCAAATTACCGTACGACAGACCACGTATTCACCCTGCACACCCTAATTGACAAACAAACAAACCAAAACAAAGGCAAAGTCTTCTCATGCTTTGTTGATTTCAAAAGCTTTTGACTCAATTTGGCATGAGGGTCTGCTATACAAATTGATGGAAAGTGGGGTTGGGGGAAAAATATACGACATTATAAAATCCATGTACACAAACAACAAGTGTGCGGTTAAATTGGGCAAAAAACACACACATTTCTTTCCACAGGGCTGTGGGGTGAGACAGGGATGCAGTTTAAGCCCCACCCTCTTCAACATATACAGTGAGGGAAAAAAGTATTTGATCCCCTGCTGATTTTATACATTTGCCCACTGACAAAGAAATGATCAGTCTATAATTTTAATAGTAGGTTTATTTGAACAGTGAGAGACAGAATAACAACAAAAGAATCCAGAAAAACGCATGTCAAAAATGTTATAAATTGATTTGCATTTTAATGAGGGAAATAAGTATTTGACCCCCTCTCAATCAGAAAGATTTCTGGCTCCCAGGTATCTTTTATACAGGTAACGAGCTGAGATTAGGAGCTCTCCCTTTAAGAGTGTGCTCCTAATCTCAGCTCGTTACCTGTATAAAAGACACCTGTCCACAAAAGCAATCAATCAATCAGATTCCAAAATCTGCACCATGGCCAAGACCAAAGAGCTCTCCAAGGATGTCAGGGACAAGATTGTAGACCTACACAAGGCTGGAATGGGCTACAAGACCATCGCCAAGCAGCTTGGTGAGAAGGTGACAACAGTTGGTGCGATTATTCGCAAATGGAAGAAACACAAAATAACTGTCAATGTCCCTCTGCCTGGGGCTCCATGCAAGATCTCACCTCGTGGAGTTGCAAGGATCATCAGAACGGTGAGGAATCAGCCCAGAACTACACGGGAGGATCTTGTCAATGATCTCAAGGCAGCTGGGACCATAGTCACCAAGAAAACAATTGGTAACACACTACGCCGTGAAGGACCGAAATCCTGCAACGCCCGCAGGGTCCCCCTGCTCAAGAAAGCACATATACAGCCCCGTCTGAAGTTTGCCAATGAACATCTGAATGATTCAGAGGAGAACTGGGTGAAAGTGTTGTGGTCAGATGAGACCAAAATCGAGCTCTTTGGCATCAACTCAACTCGCTGTGTTTGGAGGAGGAGGAATGCTGCCTATGACCCCAAGAACACCATCCCCACCGTCAAACATGGAGGTGGAAACATTATGCTTTGGGGGTGTTTTTCTGCTAAGGGGACAGGACAACTTCACCGCATCAAAGGGACGATGGACGGGGCCATGTACCGTCAAATCTTGGGTAAAAACCTCCTTCCCTCAGCCAGGGCATTGAAAATGGGTCATGGATGGGTATTCCAGCATGACAATGACCCAAAACACACGGCCAAGGCAACAAAGGAGTGGCTCAAGAAGAAGCACATTAAGGTCCTGGAGTGGCCTAGCCATTCTCCAGACCTTAATCCTATAGAAAATCTGTGGAGTGAGCTGAAGGTTCGAGTTGCCAAACGTCAGCCTCGAAACCTTAATGACTTGGAGAAGATCTGCAAAGAGTAGTGGGACAAAATCCCTCCTGAGATGTGTGCAAACCTGGTGGCCAACTACAAGAAACGTCTGACCTCTGTGATTTCCAACAAGGGTTTTGCCACCAAGTACTAAGTCATGTTTTGCAGAGGGGTGAAATACTTATTTTCCCTCATTAAAATGCAAATTAATGTATACAATTTTTGACATGCGCTTTTCTGGATTTTTTTGTAGTTATTCTGTCTCTCACTGTTCAAATAAACCTGCCATTAAAATTATAGACTGATCATGTCTTTGTCAGTGGGAAAACGTACAAAATCAGCAGGGGATCAAATACTTTTTTCCCTCACTGTATATCAACGAATTGGCAAGGGCACTAGAACAGTCTGCAGCACCCGGCCTCACCCTACTAGAAACTGAAGTAAAATGTCTGTTTGCTGATGATCTGGTGCTTCTGTCACCAACCAAGGAGGGCCTACAGCAGCACCTAGATCTTTGTCACAGATTCGGCCATAACTAATGATGGTGTTCCAAAAAAGGTCCAGTTGCCAGGACCACAAATACAAATTCTATCTAGACACCGTTGCCCTAGAGCACACAAAAAACTATACATACCTCGGCCTAAACATCAGCGCCACAGGTAACCTCCACAAAGCTGTGAACGATCTGAGAGACAAGGCAAGAAGGGCCTTCTATGCCATCAAAAGGAACATAAAACTTGGCATACCAATTAGGATCTGGCTAAAAATACTTCAATCAGTTACAGAACCCATTACCCTTTTATGGTTGTGAGGTCTGGGGTCCGCTCACCAACCAATAATTCACAAAATGGGACAAACACCAAATTGAGACTCTGCATGCAGAATTCTGCAAAAATATCCTCAGTGTACAACGTATAACACCAAATAATGCATGCAGAGCAGAATTAGGCCAATACCCGCTAATTATCAAAATCCAGAAAAGAGCCGTTAAATTCTACAACCACCTTAAAGGAAGCGATTCCCAAACCTTCCATTACAAATACATCACCTACAGAGAAATGAATCTGGAGAAGAGTCCCCTAAGCAAGCTGGTCCTGGGGCACTGTTCACAAACACAAACAGACCCCACAGAGCCCCAGGACAGCAACATAATTAGGCCCAACCAAATCATGAGAAAACAAAAAGAGAATTACTTGACACATTGGAAAGAATTAACAAAAGAAACAGAGCAAACTAGAATTCTATTTGGCCCTAAACTGAGAGTATACAGTGGCAGAAAACCTGACCACTGTAACTGACCCAAACTTAAGGAAAGCTTTGACTATGTACAGACTCAGTGAGCATAGCCTTGCTATTGAGAAAGGCCGCCTTAGGCAGACTTGGCTCCCAAGAGAAGACAGGCTATGTGCACACTGCCCACAAAATGAGGTGGAAACTGAGCTGCACTTCCTGACCTCCTGCCAAATGTATGACCATATTAGAGACATATATTTCCCTCAGATTACACAGACCCTCAAAGAATTCAAAAACAAACCCAATTTTGATAAACTCTCATATCTATTGGGTGAAATACCGCCGGGTGCCATCACAGCAGCAATATTTGTGACCTGTTGCCACAAGAAAAGGGCAACCAGTGAAGAACAAACACCATTATAACCCATATTTATGTTTATTTATTTTCCCTTTTGTACTTTAACTATTTGCACATAATGACATTTGAAATGTATTTTCTTTTAGAACTTTTGTGAGTGTAATGTTTATTGTTGTTTATTATCTATTTCACTTGCTTTGGCAATGTAAACATATGTTTCCCAAGCCAATAAAGCCCTTAAATTGAATTGAATTGAGAGAGAGGCGCAGAGAGAGAGAGAGAGAGGCGCAGAGAGAGAGAGCGAGGGAGAGGCGCAGAGAGAGGGAGAGAGAGGCGCAGAGAGAGAGAGAGAGGGAGAGGCGCAGAGAGAGAGGCGCAGAGAGGGAGAGAGAGCTGCCTTTAGCCTCACAGCACTGATATTTACAGGGGACATATTTAGGACAGGCCATGGTTGGGACAACACCCTCTGAATTCTCTGAAACCATTCCCCTAATGAATTACATTATCCCTGCATCATTTGGCCCTGTGTCCTAACTCCTAACACTGGTGCTGTAACAGGACAGGGAGAGGATGGGTGGAGGGAGGGAGTGGGGCCCCTGGGGCCCTCTAAGGGATACATAACATATGTCGCGGTCTCTCCTTCCGTGGTCCTTCCTCAGTGGATGTGTGTGGGGGATGGAGGTTTGGGAGAATTCTAATAAAGTAAGATGGTAACGTCCCTAAGGCGGAGGTTGGCCTGTTTTCAATCTCAACACAGAGGCCAGTGTTATTGGACTTCCAGCTCCCACTAGGTATCCTCCTCTGTCTGTGTGGTACACTCAGAGCCTAAATCCAGACTAGTACTATATTATAGATGTGGCCTTAACCACTGCTATCTAAGGGGTTCACAGCATGGATCTCTCTTTCGTTCTATCCTTACAAAGTTATCTTGCTAATACCCTGGTTTTCTGTACCCTAGGGCCGAGGCCAGTATACATGCTTAGATTAAGTGTTAAGTACCCTGACCTGTCCTTTGTTCAGGTTCTCGTCGTGCGTGTCGTTCTACTCCATCCTGAACGAGCTGAATGACTATGCGGGGCAGAGGGAGGTGGTGGCCGAGGAGATGGGACACAAGGTGTATGGGGAACTGATGAGGTATTCACAGGACCTCAAGTCAGAGAGGAAACAGGTGAGTGGCTTTACTGGTAGTGGTACACTAATCCCTGGTAGAACGGAATTACGGGCCTTCATTATGTACAGTTTGGTTATTTTGTTTACGCTGTAGTGAGTGCGTTATAAATGTGTGTATTGAGATCCTCCTGTTCATGTGTATGTGTGTTGATTTGTATGTTTGTGTGTGTTGACTCCACAGCACCTCCAGGAGGGCAGGAAGGCCCAGCAGTATCTGGACCAGTGTTGGAAACAGATGGACAATGTGAGTGTGTGAGAGGAGGGAGGGAAGGAGAGAAAGGAGGGATAGAGGGAGGGCCACGGTAGCACAAAGGGGACAGGGAAGGCCCCTTGCAGGTTAGAGGGAGGGTGTGACACATGGACCTCCAGCAGGGACCTGCTCCCCTCCGCCGACTGCCAGACTCCTAGTCCTGCTGGGCCACATGCAAGAGAGGGCCAATCTCCACTTATCTACACAGTGCGCACATACACACACATACACTCACCACACATTTAAAATAGTGCGTACACATAAACACACTCACACACACAGGAAGATGCATGCATAAAAAAAGCAAGCGGGCGAGCACACACACACACTTTACGAGAGGAGCATTCCTGCATTTCAGGCCTTTTCAGTATGCGAGGCTGGATCATTTTTGCAGCTTGTATGATTGCAGCCAGCTACAGCTTAATCTCACATTGAGAATGGCAGTGTTGTAATGCCTTAGGTATTCCTCTTTGTCACATAATGCAACACAGATGTTCTGGCAGGAGGAAAGCATATATGCATTTTTTGGGGGTTTTGTTATCACTACTGCCTGTTAATTTACCATGTACATAGTGCTACTATCCTAACTATGGCCTGTAGAGATAGAACCGGGTTGCAGGATTGACTATTGCTTTTGAGAAGAAGTCAATATGTCTTGACTAGTAATCTCAATCTCCCATTTGACTTTCTTAGAGCAAAAAGAAGTTTGAGCGGGAGTGCAAGGAGGCAGAGAAATCACAGATGAACTACGACCGGTTAGACAACGACATCAACGCCACCAAGTCAGAGGTAGAAAAGGTAAGTCTTGACCTGGCTTGAGCCATGACATGTACACTACCTACACCCATACACCTCGGAGGTTGTCATTTGCTGTGTAAATTGAGTGGTCCTGAATTCTCCCTCTTGTCCATTGCAGGCAAAGTCCCAGTTGTACCTGCGCACACACTCTGCAGACGAGAGTAAGAATGAGTACGCTGCTCAGCTGCAGAACTTTAACGGGGAGCAGTGGAAACATTTCAACGTGGCCATTCCACAGATATTCAAGGTAAGCCACAGCCAGCCATTCTCCTCCAGGCTCCAACTTCTGTCTCATCCCCGATTGGCATGACAGATATCTTTGCTGTGATTGCCTAACAGGAAATCAAAAGGTCAGAGGTCATTGTGTGTTTTCCGACCTCTCCAGAACCTGCAGGACATGGACGAGAGGCGGACAGTGAAGCTGGGAGAGACGTACCGGAGCTTTGCCGACGTGGAGCGCAGAGTCGTCCCCATCATCGCCAAGTGTCTGGAGGGCATGGTGACTGCTGCCAAGGCTGTGGACCAACGCAAGGTGGGTCTGGAGAAAGGTGCTATATAGCATAGTGCCCTATAGTTTGGGGCAGGGTGTGCACAAGACTATCCTTTAGCACAGGGCACGGAGCGGAGGCAGCACGTGGCATGGGTGGAGCAGGACCAGGACCAATAGTTAGTCATCCACCCAGCAGCCAGGCCAGCGGTGAGGCAATTGCTCCCTGGGCTCTATTAAAGCCAGCCTCGGGCATCAGCCTCCTCCAGTGTTTATGTGGCTGGCTGGTACTGGCAGGCAGAACCTCCTCTCTCCTCCTCACCCACAGGACTACATACAGCCTGGCTGTTGCTGCTGTTGGAAGCAGCTGAGCAGAGCTGCTCCCAACTCTGTGTGACATGTTTTCATTTGATTCTTATTGATGCACACAACGCGTGGTTTCCACCAGGGGCTGTACTGTACACTGTGGACATGGTGTCCCAGAAAACATCATTTTAAAGAAATGTCAGTCTGTAATGTTTGATGTTCACTATCATACAGTCTCACTCTCTTTCTCTCGTGTCTCTTACAGGACTCAGCGATTGTAGTGGAGTCGTTTAAGTCAGGCTTTGAGCCTCCGGGGGACTACCCATTTGAGGACTACAGTCAGAACCTCTCCCGGACGGGCTCAGACAACACCATCAGCACCCCCAAGAACGAGGTGGGGGTCAAGCCAGACCCCAAACACTCCATCAGCAAGACGGCCAAGAACAAACTGTGGCTCTTTGGGAAAAAGCCCAAGGTGAGAGATCCATCATCACCTAATACTAACACATTCTCATTGTTTCAGTGTTAAATAACTTTTATTTCTCTTTCTATGTTTTTCTATCATAAGAGTGCACTGGTAGGTTTATACCACATTCGCCTAACACCCTTTTTATTGACTTACAGTAGCTGGGTTTTGTTACAGTCACCTAAATCTTACATTCAATCACTACACTTTGACCTACCAAAGGCCAAACCGTCTGTCTGTAAATCTATAACATTTTTTTCGGTTTTTGTGTTAGTGGCTCACCATTTCAAATGACTTGTCTAGTCCATTGAAAGGGTTGTTGGTGCTCATATTGACTCTGATTTGCCTGCTGTTGTTTTGTCATGTCCATTCTTGTCTCTCACCTGAGGTTCTCTCAAATGTCATCTTGCGTAACCTGAGTTTCTCCTGCTGAGATTTGTTTTGTGGGATAATACGTTGGATAAACACTTGTTTACCACTTATATAGAAACAACACCTTGAGTTTATGTTCAATCATTACAATATGCTCCATGTTTTGAAAGTTGGGAGGTTGATCACCCCTTTTTTGTTGTCCCCGTCTCCCCCCTCTTCTCCTCCCCCCCACCGCCCGACCTGGCTGTCGCCAGTCACTCTGTCTACTCAATTTGCCAGTGACCCCATAGCTTTGTCTGTCTGAAATGAGAACGGTCAAACCCAGGATAGTGTCTTTCAGGGGTCTTAAACGAAGGGTAAGGCTAAGAGCATGTCAGTGTGTTTGGGTTTGCAGTGAGTTACCTTTTTTCTCTCTCTCTCTCTCTCTCTCCCTTCTCACCTTCTCTTCTCTCTGGTTTTGAATCAGGTAGTTTTTCACTAGTATGTTGAAATCACAGGATTCAAATGCCATGATTGAGTGTGTTGTGTGTTGTGTGTAGGAAGCGATATTGAAGCTGTAGGTGGTTTATGGATAGGAGGCAGTGGTGGTGACATGTCGATGTGACATGAAGGTCAACTGTACCTCGTCATGAGCCAGCCAAAATACTGTATGATGGCTACACAGTCTAATGAATGTCACAAGGTGGTATTCCTGTGCCAGACCATTGATTGTGTGTCACCCCTGTGTGTCTGTCATTGGTTTCTGGCTGAAGGACTTGGTTTAATTTCCTTAATGGATGGCTGAGGTGATTCATGGTGCTTCTGCAGTAAAGAGACAGACTTCCTGGAAACAACCCTCTCTCTGTGCTCTAAATGGCATCACATCATCTAAAAATGGCTTTTAAGATGTCAACTAGTTTTTAGTGGAAATAAAAGTATATCTTGAGAACAGTGTATTCTCCTTGGAGGATAGCCTTTCCGATACATGATACAGCACATTATATGCAGCATCAAGATATCCATTCAGTCAATTAATATAAATAACACAGATTATGTAACATTGTGACGAGGATAACTTCACCCAGATTGACACACTAAATGTGCTCATCAGATTGTGCCTACCTTTGTCCTTAACAATTTTGGGTAACTTTGTTCCCAAGAGAAAATAGTCACATCCTTGTGATAGTGTGTTGCTCTGCTGTTAGTTACCATAGTAACCTACATGAGCCACATACATGTTGACAACCATTCAAACCTTTTTTGTCTTTTCTTCTATTGGTTTATTTGAACCAAAACTTACACAGTGGTCAGTGAAGGTGAGTGGTGTGATGTCTTGACTGCCATAGCTAGTTGTGCATATGTGTCCCATCTTGTGGAGTTCTATAGCACAAGTCTAGTGTTAGAGACAGTTCTTGAGTGAGGTTTTCAAACCTATTCTTTCCCTGGACTCTCCTAGTGTTATTCTCTTAGGTTCTTGCTGTGAGAAGGTTTCTAGATGAATGACTGTCATTGTGACTAGACAGTGTACTGATGTGATTTCAGGCTCCATCACTGGAGGACTTCAGCCATCTGCCTCCAGAACAGAGACGCAAGAGGCTCCAGGCTAGGATAGACGAGCTCAGCAAAGAACTACAGAAAGAAGTGGACCAAAGGTAGGCCATGGGAACACTTTAACACTGCATTCTGTCTTTTATATTGTCCATGTTTCTGCTCCGTTAGTATTTCAGTGTCATTTGTTAAGTTGTTTATGTACAATGTGTTCACATTGTGACTGTGTCTGTGTATCCAGAGATGCACTGAACAAGATGAAGGATGTCTATGAGAAGAACCCTCAGATGGGCGACCCCCAGAGTCTCCAGCCCAAGATCTCAGAGACCATGTGCAACATGGAGAAACTGCGCTCCGAGATCCACAAGAATGAGGTATGTCTTCCCAGCCAAGAGCCCTGGAGCCCCAGCCAGAGAGAGGAGGGGAATGGAGGGGAGCCTTCACAGCACATCTGGAGACATAGTGACGGGGCTGAGGATTACTGTGCTGAGTTATCCCCCTCTGGAGGATGACTATATGCACTGCTTCTCTTTGTCAACAGCACACTGGGTAGAACAGGATATGACTGCCAGAGGATGTGAGCTGAGCGGAGTGTGCCCAATTTGACTGGAGCACGGAACGAGATTCCCAAAGGCTGGAGCGTCGGCCTTCTCGCCCGCTCCAGTAGCGCTCACTTCAACAGCTCAGGGCATGCCCGGCCCAGCATGCATTTGTAGTCTACTTGTGTGGTGCTATAGCCCCTTGCTTTAGCTACTGTCATGGAGTTTGCTAAATATTTTCATAAAGAAACTGATAAAACACACATGTGCTAAATCAAGGTGACTTACAACGATGAGGACCAAGCGCAAGAGAGGAAGTGTGGTGATGTAGTGTCCATAACTAAATAATCATTGTGGAATCTGAAAAGACACGTATCCCGAAAGCATGATGGTGTACTTACTACATGCACATGCTAAAATAAAGGAACGAGGTGGGTAGATAACTGTGTCATTGTAGCAATGTATTTATAAACTAAAAATCAGATCTCTTAAACGTTTTGTTCATTTTTGTTCTATTACAGTGGGGGAAAAAGGTATTTAGTCAGCCACCAATTGTGCAAGTTCTCCCACTTAAAAAGATGAGAGAGGCCTGTAATTTTCATCATAGGTACAAGTCAACTATGACAGACAAATTGTGGAAAAAAAATCCAGAAAATCACATTGTAGGATTTTTAATGAATTTATTTGCAAATTATGGTGGAAAATAAGTATTTGGTCACCTACAAACAAGCAAGATTTCTGGCTCTCACAGACCTGTAACTTCTTCTTTAAGAGGCTCCTCTGTCCTCCACTCGTTACCTGTATTAATGGCACCTGTTTGAACTTGTTATCAGTATAAAAGACACCTGTCCACAACCTCAAACAGTCACACTCCAAACTCCACTATGGCCAAGACCAAAGAGCTGTCAAAGGACACCAGAAACAAAATTGTAGACCTGCACCAGGCTGGGAAGACTGAATCTGCAATAGGTAAGCAGCTTGGTTTGAAGAAATCAACTGTGGGAGCAATTATTAGGAAATGGAAGACATACAAAACCACTGATAATCTCCCTCGATCTGGGGCTCCACGCAAGATCTCACCCCGTGGGGTCAAAATGATCACAAGAACGGTGAGCAAAAATCCTAGAACCACACGGGGGGACCTAGTGAATGACCTGCAGAGAGCTGGGACCAAAGTAACAAAGCCTACCATCAGTAACACACTACGCCGCCAGGGACTCAAATCCTGCAGTGCCAGACGTGTCCCCCTGCTTAAGCCAGTACATGTCCAGGCCCGTCTGAAGTTTGCTAGAGTGCATTTGGATGATCCAGAAGAGGATTGGGAGAATGTCATATGGTCAGATGAAACCAAAATATAACTTTTTGGTAAAAACTCAACTCGTCGTGTTTGGAGGACAAAGAATGCTGAGTTGCATCCAAAGAACACCATACCTACTGTGACGCATGGGGGTGGAAACATCATGCTTTGGGGCTGTTTTTCTGCAAAGGGACCAGGACGACTGATCCGTCTAAAGGAAAGAATGAATGGGGCCATGTATCGTGAGATTTTGAGTGAAAACCTCCTTCCATCAGCAAGGGCATTGAAGATGAAACGTGGCTGGGTCTTTCAGCATGACAATGATCCCAAACACACCGCCCGGGCAACGAAGGAGTGGCTTCGTAAGAAGCATTTCAAGGTCCTGGAGTGGCCTAGCCAGTCTCCAGATCTCAACCCCATAGAACATCTTTGGAGGGAGTTGAAAGTCTGTGTTGCCCAGCGACAGCCCCAAAACATCACTGCTCTAGAGGAGATCTGCATGGAGGAATGGGCCAAAATACCAGCAACAGTGTGTGAAAACCTTGTGAAGACTTACAGAAAACGTTTGACCTGTGTCATTGCCAACAAAGGGTATATAACAAAGTATTGAGAAACTTTTGTTATTGACCAAATACTTATTTTCACCATAATTTGCAAATAAATTCATAAAAAATCCTACAATGTGATTTTCTGGAATTTTTTTTCCTCATTTTGTCTGTCATAGTTGACGTGTACCTATGATGTAAATTACAGGCCTCTCATCTTTTTAAGTGGGAGAACTTGCACAATTGGTGGCTGACTAAATACTTTTTTTCCCCCACTGTATCTATACAATAGACCATAATTGATTTTGGCCCAATAGGCCTGGCATATTCCCACTTTAAAGGAGCTTTCCCTTTTGATTGGGTTATTTTGCCTAAAAACCTTTAGACCTACCTATAGAAAAAGAAAAAGCAACTCTGCATCTCTGCCCAGCCTGCCAAGAGTGGCCAAAAGGGGTGTTTAGCATCCCCAGTGGCTCTGCAAGCATGGCAAGGATATCCTCCGCTGCTGGCCGGCTCTCCAGGCACCATCGCATGAGCCTGAAGCCACAGACTGGCCAAACTCGTGTTTCTAAAAATAAATTCAAAGGCACTGTAGACTAAACCTAATAAGGCATTTTTTGTTTAATTTGTATTTAATTCTAAATAGTCACAGCCTATATGCGCAATTTATAGACTATAATGATTTAATACAACAAACTGTTGTTTAAATGCTGAGCCCTTTAGGTCCCTACCAGCCTAGTGTGTTGCACTCGCAAATGCTTCACAATGTATTTCTTTGTAGGCTATAACCTTGAAATAATTGAAATAATATAGCCTAAATAATTACTTTTAGGCTCCCTGTCTGGCTCCTGACCTATTAAGATTGTTTATATGCTGTTTAATATGACATGTAGGCTATTTTAAATTATGAGCACTTCTTACATTCACCTTTTCCTGTTTATTAAAATACTTTTCATTCAAACTTATGGTTTGGTTTCAATACTTCAAAACCAAATGGTAGGTCCAGGTAGTCACAAAAATAGATGGGTGTTGGTTAAATTGTGATTTTAATGAATGGCGCGAATTTGGAGCAGCATTTTTTCCCCCTGTAAGCGCGGAGAGGTTTTTAGCGGAGAGGTTGGAAAGGACGGGGAGCAACACAAGCACCGCTCCATGAGCGATGTGCGGGATTTCCGACCGCTCAACTCCGCTCACATACTCTGATGACTGCTTAGATCTTCAGGGGGTTGCATCTACTACACTATATTGAAAGACTGGCTGAATGATGGCATATCAAGGATAGGAATGAGTGTATCCATCGTGGGGTTGTGAACAGCAGTATGACTGTTGTATGACTGATTCTCCCTTAAATTCCTTCTCTCTCTCTCTCACCTCACATACTCAGAGCTGGCTGTCAGAGGTGGAGGGGAAAGTGAGCACCAGAGGAGACCGAAGACCCAGTTCTGATGTCAACCATCACGCCCCCCATGGCAGAGAGAGGTCAGAGGGCACACAAACACACGAGGACTGGTATAGATACTATAATGCGTAGTAGAGGGAGTCATTGTAGTGAAACGGGTGCCCATGGGCCATAGCGTAAGTAGACAAAAATGCTAGATTCACCAGATGTCTTTGTATAGAAATAGAATGCCTCACATTCTAGTTCTGTGTGTCTTAGAATACTTAACATGGGTGGAGTCGTAATTGTTTTCTGTAAACCAAGATGAGTCAGAAGGCTCAGTCACAGTCTGACTGGAGCAGAATCCTACAGCTTGCGACTCACAATGAGTTCAGTGAAAAGCGTGAGCTGGCACACACCCAAAAGAGTTAGTAGAGGTGCTGACTAACGTCGAGGGAACTGTAGGCTATAAAAATAAAGAGTTGCACACACTATATACACTGAGTGTACAAAACACTGAGTGTAACTTCTTTCCATGACATAGACTGACCAGATGAAATCCAGGTGAAAGCTATGATCCCTTATTGATGTCACCTGTTGAATCTACTTCAATCAGTGTAGATGAAGGGGAAGAGATGGTTAAAGAAGGATTTGTAAGCCTTGAGACAATTGAGACATGGATTGTGTATGTGTGCCATTCAGAGGGTGAATGGGCAAGAAAAAAATGTAAACAAAACATTTAAGTGCCTTTGAACGGGGTGTGGCAGTTTGAGTGTGCCAAGAACTGCAACGCTGCTGGGTTTTTCACACTCTACCGTTTCCTGTGTGTATCAAGAATGGTCCACCACCCAAAGGACATCCAGCCAACTTGACACAACTGTGGGAAGCAACATGGGCCAGCATCCCTGTGGAACGCTTTCAACACCCTGACGAATTGAGGCTGTTCTGAGGGTTAAAAGGGGGTGCAACTCAATATTAGGAAAGTGTTCCTAATGTTTTGTACACTCGGTGTATACGCTTCCGGTAATTTATTGGGTAAACCACCAACGTTTTGGCATCATAGTACCTTCTTCAGGGTTACCATGAGTTCACCCATCTAAACCTAAGTGGCAGAGATGGCACTGACTCTCTCATCCATCCCTTCTCCTCTTCTCTCCACCCTCTCTTCTCCTCCTTCTCCTCTTCTCTCCACCCTCTCTTCTCCTCCTTCTCCTCTCTTCCTCCAGCCCTGAGGGCAGTTACACAGACGTCCCCAACCAGGAGCACCGCAGCCCCCCTCACCAGCCAGACCCCCGACAGGCCCACCAGCCAGACGAGTTTGATGATGAGTTTGACGATGACGACCCGCTCCCAGTCATTGGCCACTGCAAAGCACTCTACTCCTTTGACGGTACAGCACAGCAGAGCCAGTGGTGCTCTCTATGCATTTCACTGTCTCACTATGTGTAGTGACAGTAATAGTGGTGGGGTGGGTATTCTGACTAGCGATACGGACTCGAACACTGGAGCAGTATTTAGTATTTGCATGAATGTGAATATGAAATGTGATATGTGCTATTCCTGTACAGTGTGGTTCCTTCCCTGTGTGCTAACAGTATGTCTCTGTTGTGCTGTGCTGTTGACCCCCAGGTCAGAACGAGGGTACGCTGTTGATGAAGGAGAACGAGGTGCTGTACATCATCGAGGAGGACAAGGGTGACGGCTGGACGCGAGCCAGGAAGCAGAGCGGAGAGGAGGGCTACGTGCCCACATCCTACGTGGAGATCACCATGGAGAAGAACAGCAAAGGTGCAGTCACCTACATCTGATCTGACCACCTGCATGGACTCCTCCTATATCATATCCCCTCTTCCTCCTCTGGGGAGTGCTGGTCAGAACAGCAGCCCCTCCTCTTTGTTCACTGTGTGAGCTCACGACAAACAAACACACCAGACATCCTGGTATTGTAGTGACCTCCCTGTACAGGAGCTCTGTATCAATTAATTAAGCCATGTGTGTCTGTAGGAGGATGTATCCATAGCCACGCTCTATGGCAAGGGGACTCCTCTCCCCTTAGGGCAGATTATTTTATTTAATATTTCAGAAGTGACTTGTTTTTAGTTCATGTGTCTTTTGTTTTTAGAAGGAGATGTTATAATGCTCTACTGGTTTTAAGATGCCACTGGGGACTCTTACTGATTTTACCCATTTGTATTGTCTATATATTATCAGCCATCTGTTGGGAGTCTCCTATGTTAAGTGCTCTGCTCCACCTATTAAGACAGGAATGCAGTTAAACAGTCCTGGTAAGGACTGGCCTGTTCTGTGCCTGTATGACTCATACCTCCCACTATGATACTATGCTTTAAGATAATTGTACACTCCTTCTCTCTTTGTGTGTGTGTGTCACAACAGTGGCACCCTCTGGTGGTCAGGGCTATATTACACCCAGAGGAGTAGTTCTACTGTCTTCTCTCTCTCTGTCCTAGTGGTGTGGGTGGTGGTGGGTGTCAGTGCTCTGTAGCCGGGTCAGTACAGTAACTTCTCTCTCTCTCCTGTTGGACTGCAGATTCCTGAGTGGAGCAGTGTGGCGAGGTCTTTGGTGGAGGGTACATGCAGTTGCTGAGTGGTGGAGCTAGTGGCAGACAGGGCTTGTCTTGGGCGGGCAGAGCAGGGGAGAGGAAGGGCTTGGCAGGTGTAGAGGCAGGTTGCATGTTTGCATGCACACATCCATGGCCATTAACATCATTCCATAGCAGCAGATAATCCTGAGGTAGTAGCTATGCCTCTATAGGAGGGGAGTGTTCTTCCTAAACTGTGTCCGTCTAACCACAGCACAGAGTAACCATCCAACTGAAACATAACAGTAAGAATCAGGGACCGGGGAGGGGTCTTAGAGCTAGCAGCTTACACCATCATCATTTATAATGAGAGAAAAGCAAGTAATGCACTACTACACTACTCCTACACTACTACTCACCTCTGTTGTATTTCTGCTCCGCAGACAACGCCCAGCACTAACAGCCTGTCTTGTTGTTGCGTTCTCATTCCATTGTTGGGAATGCCTGCCTGACTGTGCCACTCTCCTGTGGTCGCCCTACCTTAACACGCTTCAGCATGTCTGTAACATGAACTGTCATTCCTTCATACAGGACTGGCCATGATGAATGCAGCGTCTTGGATGTAACTCTGTGGTCGCTCCCGCCGCCCATTCATTCACTTCTAATCTTCCTGTATGTCTTCTTCATTCATCAACGTTTAGCTTTTTTGTGTGTGTCTTGTTTTTGTTCTGTGTTGATCGAAACGATCCTATCATGCTGTTGCGTGTTGAATGTCATCTCTGTCATGCTGTTGTTCAGTAACTCGTGGCGCCGCATTGTCAGTCACTCAGGTCAGTGTAGGAGTAGGACTACTCTAGTCACAGACAGGCGGCCTGCCCATCACGGTACCGCTTCATCCCCTCCTCCTGCTCCTCCCTGCACCAGCACCAGACAAGAGGAAGGCTGCAGGGGGGGTGCAGTGACATCGGCGCACCAGCAGAGGGCCCTCCTCCCTCACCAGTCAGTCACCACACAGGAGCTCAGGCTCAGGCCAGGAAACCTGGAGGCTGAGCTAAAACAAACTACAAAGGCCATCCAACAACAACAACACTCCATGCAGTCTTTTCCTTAATGCTAACTGAGAGTGAGGATGGACCCGCTGAGTGCTCTTCCATCACACTGTGCGGCACACAAGGGCTCCAACCGACTAGGTCTACGCTGGCTTGCTGTGGTGCTCCTCTGGGCTTGACCGCCACGTCTCTTCTCCTCTGTCTCCCTGGAGCATCCTGGGGCCTCGGTGTGCTGCGATCTCCACGAGAATGAGTGTTGCATTACCATAACATTCTTCTTTCAAGCGCATATTATATTTCTGATTGTGATTATACATATAAACATGTGTATGCATATTCATACAGTTGAAGTCGGAAGTTTACATACACCTTAGCCAAATACAGTTGAAGTCGGAAGTTTACATACACTTAGGTTGGAGTCATTAAAACTCGTTTTTCAACCACTCCACACATTTTTTGTTAACAAACTATAGTTTTGGCAAATCGGTTAGGACATCTACTTTGTGCATGACACAAGTAATTTTTTAAACAATTTTTTGCAGACAGATTATTTACCTTATGCACTGTATCACAATTCCAGTGGGTCAGAAGTTTACATACACTAAGTTGACTGTGCCTTTAAACAGCTTGGAAAATTCCAGAAAATGATGTCATGGCTTTAGAAGCTTCTGATAGGCTAATTGACATCATTTGAGTCAATTGGAGGTGTACCTGTGGATGTATTTCAGGGCCTACCTTCAAACTCAGTGCCTCTTTGCTTGACATCATGGGAAAATCTAAAGAAATCAGGCAAGACCTCAGAAAAAAAATTGTAGACCTCCACATTCTGGTTCATCCTTGGGAGCAATTTCCAAACGCCTGAAGGTACCACGTTCATCTGTACAAAGAATAGTACGCAAGTATAAACACCATGGGACCACGCAGCCGTCATACCGCTCAGGAAGGAGACTTGTTCTGTCTCCTAGAGATTAACGTACTTAGGTGGAAAAAGTGCAAATCAATCCCAGAACAACAGCAAAGGACCTTGTGAAGATGCTGGAGGAAACAGGTACAAAAGTGTCTGTATCCAAAGTAAAACGAGTCCTATATCGACATAACCTGAAAGGCCGCTCAGCAAGGAAGAAGCCACTGCTCCAAAACCGCCACAAAAAAGCCAGACTACGGTTTGCAACTGCACATGGGGACAAAGATCGTACTTTTTTGAGAAATGTCCTCTGGTCTGATGAAACAAAAATATAACTGTTTGGCCATAATGACCATCGTTACGTTTGGAGGAAAAGGGGGGATGCTTGCAAGCTGAAGATCACCATCCCAACCGTGAAGCACGGGGGTGGCAGCATCATGCTGTGGGGGTGCTTTGCTGCAGGAGGGACTGGTGAACTTAACAAAATAGATGGCATCATGAGGAAGGAAAATGATGTGGATATATTGAAGCAACATCTCAAGACATCAGTCAGGAAGTTAAAGCTTGGTCGCAAATGGGTCTTCCAAATGGACAATGACCCCAAGCATACTTCCCAAGTTGTGGCAAAATGGCTTAAGGACAACAATGTCAAGGTATTGGAGTGGCCATTACAAAGCCCTGACCTCAATCCTATAGAAAATGTGTGGGCAGAACTGAAAAAGCGTGTGTGGGCAAGAAGGCCTACAAACATGACTCAGTTACACCAGATCTGTCAGGAGGAATGGGCCAAAATTCACCCATACTTTTGTACTTGTTTCCTCCAGCATCTTCACAAGGTCCTTTGCTGTTGTTCTGGGATTGATTTGCACTTTTCGCACCAAAGTACGTTAATCTCTAGGAGACAGAACGTGTCTCCTTCCTGAGCGGTATGACGGCTGCGTGGTCCCATGGTGTTTATACTTGCGTACTATTGTTTGTACAGATGAACGTGGTACCTTCAGGCGTTTGGAAATTGCTCCCAAGGATGAACCAGACTTGTGGAGGTCTACAATTTTTTTTCTGAGGTCTTTCTCTGATTTCTTTTGATTTTCCCATGATGTCAAGCAAAGAGACACTGAGTTTGAAGGTAGGCCCTGAAATACATCCACAGGTACACCTCCAATTGACTCAAATGATGTCAATTAGCCTATCAGAAGCTTCTAAAGCCATGACATCATTTTCTGGAATTTCCCAAGCTGTTTAAAGGCACAGTCAACTTAGTGTATGTAAACTTCTGACCCACTGGAATTGTGATACAGTGAATTATAAATTAAATAATCTGTCTGTAAACAATTGTTGGAAAAATTACTTGTGTCATGCACAAAGTAGATGTCCCAACCGACTTGCCAAAACTATAGTTTGTTAACAAGAAATTTGTGGAGTGGTTGAAAAACGAGTTTTAATGACTCCAACCTAAGTGTATGTAAACTTCCGACTTCAACTGTATGTGTATACATATACTGTATGTATATATGTAGTTAATTTTATTACTGAATTGTATTAACATCTCTTTTATTTCATACTGAATGTGTTTTTATCGTGACTTTTTATAGGGTTTTTAATCATAATGACTCGCTTTTCAGAATCGTGCCGTTAGCTCATAGTAACCGTGCATTGTTTGTCAGAACATCCTTCTGAATAGGGATATGATGCACTTTTGCCCTATAGCGTTTTAATTGAATATAAATGAATGAATGAATGAAATGGACTCTGTATGCTACCTTTTGTACAAATGTAAAGTGAGACAGCTGTGACCACTGTTATTATAGGTGTAGAGTTCAGAACTACCACAAAATATAGGACATTACTGTGGCTAGCCATGTAAATGATTTTGATACTCTTAGTCCTAACCCTTTTTTAATTTAATTAATTTGAAAGTTAATTTAATTAGCATGATTCCCTTTAATTAGTATGAGCATAATTGACATGGTGAAGGATTAGACTTAAATCAAAGAAGTGACGTAGCTTTTATCAGACGGACACAGGGTTTTGCCCTTGGTAGGATATAGAATTCCCCATTTAAAACCTTTTTTTTGCAGTTAATTTGGTGGTCCCACTTTGAAATGCTAATACGAGCAGTGATTTAGTTCCTAATACATACTTAAAGCTGTGAAAGTAATATCATGATATGCTCATCTTACTTGAACTGCATCTCTCTCAACTTCCTAGAGACAACCCTATGTATGTTCTTACTTCCATTGGATGTCTTAAGACCTATCTGCTTCCTTGATGAATGTGCACTAACACAGATAATGCCGGCTAAAATGGAACAGTGCAGGTTATATAAATCCTGCTATTCTGTTTAGTTTATCATGTCATTCCATTGCCTGGATGAGCTCATTTGAATGTTCACTCCTCTCTTGTTGAACTGGTGAATAGGTGTATGTTATCAGAAATCACAAATTGGGGAAATTACTTCCCTTTCTTTCAGTGAAATTCCTTTCAGTGGCTTACAGAGGAGCATGAAGGTGCATGCTTGACTCAACATATCTGGAGTTCACAGCAAATATTAAAGCTCTGTATATTGGCTACCTGCCTGTATTGTAGGCCTATTCATGTATTGACCCTTGACCCTACTCTACAATATCAACCAATATCTAGTAATACTGGTTAAATCCCTAATGAACATGTCATTGTGGATCAAAATCAGAAGAGGATGTCAAGGTTTAAGTTGTTAATGTGTAAGTAGTTGTTTTTAATATGAAGTACATTAACCCATTAATGTCTGCAGTGTGTGTCTGGCTATTCTTCATCAGTAATAACAAGGCTTTTGACAAGCTTTGTCTCTAATGGCCTAAAACAGTGCTGGACCGTATTGTTGGCACCACAGTGCAAGTGGCCTTCAGTGATGACCAATTATGATGATGGATATGTAGGTTTCTCACTAGCATCCTTAACCAAAAGTTGTGCGTTAAAGTGATTTTCATTTTGGATTAAAACTGAGCTAAATCATATCCATTATGCTGTAATTCTGATCAAAACAAAAACGGAACAATATGCTTTAAGATGCAGTAATATTCACTCTTACGGTGGCAAATTCATCTAATGGCAAAAAGTAGATATGAGAATCTCACTGTTGTCTCTTATTTTAACATATATTGTAATAACCAATGGCAGTACTTCTATTTCTTCATGTTGTTGTGCACATCTTTTTACTTTTAATGTTGTGAGACACTTTGTGTGGAAAAAAATCTGTTCTCATTGTTCTAATAAAACAAACACATGAACAAACAACAACATTGGCATCTTTTTGAAGACTTCATCAACATCATTTTCTAGTTTCGCAATACGTACGGTGAAACGTATACATGTTCCAAAGTCGTCGTTACTCAGACAACTTCTGCATGTCATTTCTTTGTCTATTTATTAATTTCTTGACACAATAGTTCATATAAAGATATTACAATTAATAAGCAGCTATTTACAGGTCAATATTTAAGAGGGAAATATATTACACAGTCTAGCATTCACATGCTCACATATTAACTATGTACACCTTTTAACATTCAGGATTATCCAGATGAACTCATAATATACCACGACATCTGAGGCACATTTGAACATGAAGCAGATAGTTGAAGACCTAGTTAATACAGTATATATTCCATAGTATTTTAAACAATATACGGTAAAACTGCCTCTTATAGCGACCAAACGTCTTCCTTCCACTTCTTCTGTTTCATCATTCTATGTTCTCTCAAAGTCATTTGTTGAACCCTTATAACAAGGGAGTTACATCTCAATCACTACTTTAGTGATGCATTCACACACACACCCATTTCCTTCTGACAAACACTTTCAGAAACTCTTCTTGGGTCCTCTTCTCTGTCTCTATGTGGTCAGTTTGTGTTCCCCTCTCAGCCACATACAGTAGGATGACTATAGACCAGGGTCAAGGGGCTAGACTACCACTGCACATACTCTATGTACAAAACATTAGGAACACCTTCCGAATATTGAGCTGCCCTTAGAACAGCCTCAATTCATCGGGGCATGGACTGACTCTACAAGTTGTCGAAAGCGTTCCACAGGGATGTTGGCCCATGTTGACTCCAACGCTTCCCACAGTTGTGTCAAGTTGGCTGGATATCCTTTGGGTGGTGGACCATTCTTAATGCACACGGGAAACTGTTGAGCGTGAAAAACTCAGCAGTGTTGCAGTTCTTGACACACTCAAACCGGTGCGCATGGCACCTACTACCATACCCCGTTCAAAGGCACTTAAATATTTTGTCTTGCCCATTCACCCTCTGAATGGCACACATACACAATCCATGTCTCAAGGCTTAAACATCCTTCTTTAACCTGTCTCCTCCCCTTCATCTACACTGATTGACGTGACATCAATAAGGGATCATAGCTTTCACCTGGATTCACCTGGTCAGTCTATGTCATGGAAAGAACTTACACTCAGTGTTCCTAATGTTTTGTACACTCAGTGTATATGGTGTAAATGCCTGCCCCCTAGCCTGGGTGAACATTTGTTTTTGCTATCATGCCAACTCTCTGTCACTCATTGTCATCCCATTGGCTTGACAATGACAGCAATGGAGTAAGCAAGACCACAAACAGCTCTTGGACCAGACTACCCCCTTCCTGCGTCACAGAGGGAAATATTTCCCCTTCATATCAACACACTCAGGTTAGTATCCTGCCACTGCCAGGGAAGAGTTCCAATTGGATCTCAGACTCACACTCTCCCTCCATTGGACAGGTTGGGAAAATACAATAGTCTCGCTCTGCAACAGTTCCTCATTCCCAGTCAATACGGGGCACAGTTTGTCTCTCTTAACCAGCCTGAATGTCCTTTTACAACCGACCAGTGTTCACTAATACAGTCTGTTTACCACAGGCTCTGGTTAGAGTTCTGTGTGTTTGACCGCTGGCTCCAGCTTTCTGGACAAAGCAGTTAGGATGAGTGTGAACTTGTCGTATCTCTCCATCTGGTTGACGGCCGCCCCTCTACTCCCCCACAGCAGACGGAGCTGGAAGTCTGTTTTAAAGATCTCCAGCAGGTCCTCGTCAGCCTGGAAGTCTGCACACAGAAAGAGGAATAAATTATCATTAGCCTTGTAGCTCATCATACCAGCTTAGACATGCATCTGTTATAGTGTCTTATGCAATCTCGGGCACTATGAAAAAAGCTGTGACCTTTTGGACAAGAGCATTTATTTAGCAAATAATGTTAACAGCTGTGAGCACTATCTCTAGCAGAAGGTGTGGAGTGTATTACCTTTCAGGACATGTTCAGTGTTAGCGGTGTATGCGTCAGCGTTGTGTGCCACGCTGCGGGCCTCATCTAGGTGACGTAGCATGATCTCACAGCCCTGGTCATTGCTCTCCCACAGTTCCATGCCCTCAAACGCCACCGCCTGGCGCTCCATCAAGATGAGCAGGGGCATTAGTAGGGGCATCGTGGTGCCAGTCAGGGGCATGTCCGCTACACACACACACAGGGACACGGTCAGAAACTGCAACTGCACTTAAGGTCAGTAAGAGCACCAAGGAGGCTCCATTGAGGTGCTTACCTGTTCCTTCATACAGCCCCTTGTAAAAGGGCTTTAGAGACTTCTCGTATATGATGGCAGTCTGAGTGTATTTCCTCCTCAGCATGGTCCAGGTGTGGTCTAACCGTGTGATCTGGGGTCAAGGGCATACAGATGTTAGGAAACAATCAGCACAATCACAATATCCCTAGGGACATCTGCCTTTAAAGACTCATCTCAGAACGCGTGGTGGGGTTGGGGGACTGTGTCTGGCTGTAATGAGTGGGGTACCTGAGGCATGTCCAGTGCTTTCATGATGGAGGAGAAGGCGTACAGATCCCCCATGGAGTCCTTCAGTTCTAGAGCCACCATGATGATGCGGTTCAGTGTGGCGGTACGCTCCTCCAGACTTCCTGTGCAGCCCAGGATGTCCACGGCAACCCCGATAGCCATGGTGTGGTGCCTGGGTTACACAACAGAGAGTTCAGTCATAAGTCCCTTTAACCTCTGTGGACTTTTTGTGTCTACATGTGGGTTTCCTATCACCTGAGGAGTGTGTCAGGTGGGTTTGGGTGTGTATGTGTGTTTACCTTTCCATCAGGTCTCGACGCAGCTGCCTGCCGTGGGGTAAGGTCACCAGCTCCAGACCAGAGGACACACCCATTTGACCTTTCACCTCCTCAGAGACGCCAAGTACCCTAGCAACCTGTCAGGTACATAACCATTTTTTGCATTAGTGTGGTTTAGTTAAGCTATATGAGGATGGAAGTGTTTTGGAATGGTCAGGTTTGGGGAAATCCTATAATTGATCATGAGTTCCTTCTGACTAAATTAAACAAGAGACATCTTCATTTAATTCCACAGCCACCTTACATAACGTTGTACCATAGCTGTTTTTAACAACACTAATAAAGATGTTTCCCTCAAGACTAGACACCCAGTCATGGGTTTGGCTGCAGAGCATTTTTGGTGCATCTAACTAAATGACATTTACTGGTTTCATTTGGCCCTTTGTGTGGAGTACCACACCCAGACAGACATAAGGCACCTGACTGTCTGGGACATGCCAAATACCAACGAGAGGAAATGAATGAAATGCCAGTCTCAGTCTCTGATGCTCTCTGTGTGCCTGACTGTCTAGCCCCTAAATTAGATGCTGCTGAAGAATGAGACCTGAATCATGCTTACACAAACTGTCCTGCAAATCTCCCGTTTATATTAATTCATGATGTACACTGACATTTCTGTTATGATCTCAACTTGGGATTCAGCCCTGAGTGCTCAGACATACAGTAGGCCTAGTGCTCTAATGTCCTGTGGGTAATCTGGGTATGGTGTAGTGGGACAGTGCAGTGCAGTACCTGGCAGTCTGCCATGAGGATGTGCATGGCGATGATGTGGGGTTCTTTCTGAACCAGCAGTCCTTTGGCTCTCTTCAGCACACTCATCTCCAGGGGTTTGTTCTCTGCAGGCAGCAGCCTGGATTCAAACTCCCCCGGCTGGAACGCAGACGCAGTCTCCAACACCGGCCGCCGGAAGCTCCTCTCTTTCTCCTCCCCTGTCTCCTCTATCTCTCCTTTCCTCTCTTGTTCCACCTCCTCCTCTTCGCTGCCATTCTCCAGGGCTTCGATGGCATGGTGGTAGGAGCTGCGGTCCAGTTTGGAGCCACGGCTGCTCCTCTCACTCTCCTCTGTCCTAAGCCTCTCTACGTAGCTGTTGATATTGTTGTTGTTGTTGGGCTGGGGGCCCAAGCCTGGGGCCTGGAGCCTGTCCCACTCTGCTGGGCTGCAGGGGCTCAGCTCAAAGTAGTTCACCTCTGGGCAGGGGGGCTGGGGAGGCTGGAGAGCCTGGATCAGATGCTGCTTCTTGGGCTTCAGTGGAGGAACAGGGGGACCTGGGGCTGGGCTGGCCAGAGGGGCCAGGGGCTGCAGGCGTGGGGAGCGGGGAATCCTCATGGAGGGCACCTTGCTGGGCTTGGGGGGCGGCTTGGGGCAGAGCTGGCTTTCTGAGCCCCGGATGGCCTCCCCGGCCTGGGTCTCAAAGGCCAACCTCCTTGGCACGGTGGGGCTGAGGGCCTGCTCACTGCCCGTCCTGAACACTGGAGACTGGGGCCTAGGCTGATGCTCCATCAGCTGGGACTGGGGCTGGGGCCTGGAGCCTGGGGAGAGAGAGAGGGGACAATCATTACCTGAACCTGCACACTGCAGCCTAGTACATACAGCTAAAGCCATGTCTGTGTTGTGTGGCTGTGGAGATGCTGGGAGGGCTGCTGTCTATTTGTAGTCTGACTCTGCATAGAAAGCTTAATTACAGTGTCAGTCGCAGAATGGAATGCACCACTGGCAGAGAGAGAGAGAGAGAGAAGAGAGAGAAGAGAGAGAGAGAGAGAGAGAGAGAGAGAGAGAGAGAGAGAGAGAGAAGAGAGAAGAGAGAGAGGGAGAGAGAGAGAGAGAGAGAAAGAGAGAGAGAGCGAGAGGATAGAGAGGCTAGAGATAGAGAGAGATAGAGTAATAGTAGATATCCTCTTACTCTCTAGATTATCAACTTCTATATTTCTCTTCTCTCTACTGCGCTATCTATCTCTCTGTCTCTCTTCTTCTCGTCCCTACTCATCTTCTCTCTGCCTCCTTTCCCCCTTCCCGTACCTAGAAGGGAGAAGCTCTCTGACTGGTGGGTTTTGAGAGGCCACCGTCTCTCCTGAACGTGGTTCAGACACGCCGGCTGGCTTCCACACTTGTCTTTGTTCCTGATAGACAGAAGGAGAGAGAGAGAGGTCAATTGGACTGAGCCCTTTAGCTACCAACAGAGGCACGTCCACTGGGCACACCAACACAACTAACCCCTACTGAAACCTGATACATTGTGTGCAGTGTTTATGTAAAATGTTACTGTGTAATTTCATGGGGTATTTTTTGTCCTGGTTTGCCTTGGCATTGTGCTCAGAGGTTGGTATTCTCCATCCAGGCTAAACACCACTCCTTACTTACTTTGCCTCAGGAATGGTTTATTGTAGACGTATACTTATCTCTGTGACTCCCACATTAGTGTGACAAATTTGGAGTGCACATGTGTTGTTTGCATGGTATACATGACAATTACACAGATCCATTTCCATTTGGAGAAACCCCTGTATGACGGAATGTACAGTGTCTATATAAGTTCCTGGGTGCAGAGGAGCATAAAATGAACTTCATTGCCATAATAAATCAGCTGCAAGCAAACATCTCCATTGTACCATTGTAACACACTGACAATTCACCATGTCAAGAGCAGACAACCCTGAACCTCCTTATATAGCCTACTAACCTAAGCAGGTTCCCACGTCCAAGGCTTTGGTCCTGGGTGTGTCCGTTCATGATGTTGAGGCTCAGGCGTTTGGAGGTCTGGCTCTTCCTCTCGGGCAGGGTCAGACCGGCCTCCACACGGACACAGGCCACCCCATACTTCTCCTCTAGGCAGCGCAGGGGCAAGGCCCTGTTGATGGGCTGGAAGATGATGGCCCCCACCACCTCCGTCACTGGTTTCCTGTTACCCACGTAGTAGCGCACCAGGGCGGGCACGCTGTCGAAGCCCTCCTTCTCAAACAGGTACTGCACCCGGGAGTAGGCCTCATTCATGGCCACCACCATCTTATTGATCTTGAAGTGCTGAGGGCTGTTCTTCCACTGGCAGGTTAGGACGTAGTTCCCAGGGCTGGACAGAGAGTCCCGGATCAGGAAGTCCCCGTCTCTCTGGATCAGGTTCTCTGCCACCTGGACACCAGAGGACACGTGTTGATCACACATAGACAGAGACACATACACACAGACATACTGTATAGCTTATACACTTGGCTGTATTTTCAATATCACACGGTTGGAACTGTGTCTAGTGTGTTTTCCGTTTCACACTCGTCTCACAGTTGGATTTGTTGGCGACAGGCGCTCTAGTCCCTCTCACTGAATGGCCTTCTCAGTAACCTGCTTGGCTCATTGAATGTTTTCTCTAGGACTACTGTTACTGCACTGTGACATCATGATACCTCCCAGCATGCTCTCTGAGCCCAGGCCACACCAAGCCAAACAGGATCTCATAGTCAGAAGGGTCAAGTGTCCAAGCCCCCAGTGTTGTGTAGAAACTCTGTAGTTGCCTCATACATTGGTCCACACTCACAAACAAGCCCTTGAGTTTTATAATCATCTCTGTAATTTGATTCCTGAATAGACCACCCTGTGTATTTGTTTTGCTCAGTCTGTTTATTGAAATAAATTGTCTTTCTATAGGTGAATTATGGCTGTTTGGTTTTTGAAAATGTCTGAATAAAAAAAGTAGAATAATATAATAAAAGAAAACATTGGTCCACACTCCACTCCACCACTTATGTTATTCCTCCAAACATTTCATTACCTTCCTATTTAATTAACTTAGTATTGAACTAAGTAATTATGTTTATATAATCATGTTTTGGAGTTGGAAGGTTAAGGGTTTTTAATTAAACTTTTAAAAAGCCCTCTTTTCACAATCCGGCCGCAGTAGCACCAGGAAGGAGCTTATTAAACCTGATTAGCATCACTTGGCAGCATGAATGCTGTTTTTCTGTGTCCTTACATAAAGTCTCTGTCCTACTGAGGAGGTGCAGGCTGAGCCATAAAACTGAGCACAGCTGTGTGTGCATTTGTGTGTGTGTGTGTGTGTGTGTGTGCGTGTGTGTGTGCAAGGACAAGCTCAAAAGAGCTCAATTTCTTATTCAGGTCCCATCTGTGATTTTACACACAGAGGTGATGCTTTAGATTTTTAAAGCCAGTCTGACGCATTGAAAGTAATTTGATTTATACCTCATGAAACTGCTCATTGATATTAAGATCCATGTTAAATCCATTAGCCATGCAATGTTGTTTATATGTTTCTAACAGATGTCCGTTGTGAATAAATTTTGTTGTGAAAGTAGATGGAAATTGAGATGGACAGTGTTTTCAAACATTTGTGCAACTTGATTATTTTTGCAATCTATGTCACTGTCTCACAATCTCATAGCCAGTGCAACTCGTTGAGCTTTTTGAGTGGCCAGTGTTTTTCTGTATGACATACAGATCCCCGATGCACTGGCATGGAAAAAATCTATCACCTGAAGCCTGGAGCTGCTGATGTGTGTTGTCTAATGGTAGAATGGGAGTGGGCTGAGCTGGTCTTACTAGTTCTTGTTGAGAGACGCACAGTCTTGTGGGTAAACATGAGTGTGTACTGTACCGTGTGCAGCTAGCCGGGGGCCTGGCAGAGCCATCGTGCCTCTCACAATGCCTAATGATGGGCTGTGTTACATGCTGGTTCACTCCCCTTACAAGGTGACACATCTGATGTCACCCATGTGCCGTTACCATCAAATTAAGACCTGTGTGTGTGGGCTGAGAGACAGACTGAGTATCCTCACTGAGGCTGAGGTTCATAGAAAGAGCTCTGTGGTCTGAGCTCTCAGTACTACAGTATGTACACACACAGACACAGTGTGTGTGTCAGGGACGCTCTCTTCTCACTGACAAGTTCTCAGTGACAAGCTCTTAGTGAGATACTGATGAAAGCACAAGGCTGAAATGAAGTCCATTTCAATTAACCATGCAGCGGGTGCCAAGCCTCATTCAGCCACAGTATATCAAACTGACAGCCTCACACAATGGATTCAATACAGCCAGTGCTGTAGAACGGACCTGACAAGATAAATACTTCTCTCTGTTTTTGACTTGTCCTTGTTTGTCTGATTCTGATCTGGCTCAACCAGTTTCAGACAAGCTGCTTGAGAATGGATCACAGGAAAGGACACTGTCCCTGATTACTGCTCTGTGTACATACACACTCATTTGAGCAGAGCCCTGGGTGTGAGGATGTCACCTGTGGTCTTCCTCATCCCCCTGATTTGATCCTGCTGTGCTGGGATCTGTCACAGCCTCCTCCTAAGCCCCGACCCTCAGCCATGTAGCTTTCACTCAGCAGTCCACATGAAAGACACACAGCTCCCCTCTGGAAACCTCTAGACACGCAGGGAGTTTTCACATATTTATGACAAGAAATGCCAGCCAAAGTGTCTAAGCTCCCTGACTCTCCATTCACACAGTAGTCCACAGTGTGACCAAACAAAGCATTGTGTGGGATGTCATTACAGAGACGTTTGGTTGAGCTTGGAAATGGTTCTGTCTGAACAGATGTCCTGCCCTGTGCAGGTATGTGGAAGGTTTTGAATGGTTGTCATGTTTTCAGAGCGCCAGTACATTTCACTGTCAGTCTACACCTGTTGTTTACGCAGCATGTTACAAATATTTATTTTAATTTTATTTTGTTTGCTGTGATTCCTCCACAGGGAGGGTGACCAACAGGCAGTGCTGTGATACTCTAACAGGCAGTGCTGTTTGGTGGTGACCACATGGTGTCTGATGATCTCTTCACAGTTTCACGGCAGCTGATTCCTTCACAGGGTGGGTGTGACCAAAAGGCATGCGTGATTCCTGCACTGGTTACATACACACTATTACCACGGGTTGGGTGTCCAACAGGGTGCTTTCCTCCGCCCATGATTTGATCCGGCGTGCTGGATCTTCACAGGTGTCCAAGCAGCGTGACTCCCACGTGGCGTTTCAACAGCAGTGCTCCACATGGTACCAACAGCGTGCCTTGGACTTTACCACAGGGGGTTCACCAATATGCATGTGTGAATGCCACCCAAGGTGGTGTAGCTACCACGCCAGTCCGTGTCCACAGTGGTACCAACAAGCAGTTGTGTGATTCATCACAGGGTTTGGTTGACCACGTCATGGTTCTGGTTGAACAGAGTGCCTGCTGTCAGGTTGGTGGTGACAAGGTTGCATGGTTGTCACAGTGGTTGCCAAGCGGCCCAGTCTGATTCACTGCGTGGGTGGGTGACCAACAGGCATGGCTGTGATTCCTCCACAGGGTGGGTTACCAACAGGCAGTGCTGTGATTCCTCCAGGGTGGGTTACCAACTGGCAGTGCTGTGATTCCCTCCACACGGGTGGGTGGGTGACCAACAGGTCAGTGCTGGTGGATAACTCGCCACAGGGTGGGTTACCAACAGGCAGTGCTGTGCTTCCTCCACAGGGTGGGTGGGGTGACCAAACAGGCAGTGCTGTGATAACCTCCACAGGGTGGGTTACCAAACGGCAGTGCTGTGATTCCTCCACAGGGTGGGTTACCAACATGCAGTGCTGTGATTCCTCCACAGGGTGGGTGGGTGACCAACAGGCAGTGCTGGATTCCCTCACAGGGTGGGTGGGTTACCAACAGGCAGTTGCTGTGATTCCTCCACAGGGTGGGTGGTGACCAACAGTCAAGTGCTGTGATCCCTCCACAGGGTGGGTTCCAACGCATTGCTTGATTCCCAACAGGGTGGGTTACCCGTGCTGTGATTCCTCCACAGGGTGGGTGGGTGACCAACAGGCAGTGCTGTGATTCCTCCACAGGGTGGGTTACCAACAGGCAGTGCTGTGATTCCTCCACAGGGTGGGTTACCAACAGGCAGTGCTGTGATTCCTCCACAGGGTGGGTTGCCAACAGGCAGTGCTGTGATTCCTCCCCAGGGTGGGTGGGTGACCAACAGGCAGTGCTGTGATTACTCTACACGGTGGGTGGGTGACCAATAGGCAGCGGGAGTGACAGGGCCCTGAATGAAATCAGTGTGCAACTGGATACCCCTCCCCTCTCTGCATGCTTTCACTGGGCTAGTCATGTTTCACGGTAAGCCTCTCTCCTCTATCAGCTCCATCTTTTTATTGGACTATCCTCTTTCACAAAGAGCCAACCTTATCAAGAATCCTTTGACCCAAGCTAAATTAAGGCTCATAATAAATCATTAGACTCTAAAACAGCAGCTGAGTTGTTCCTCCAGAGAATGTGTGTGTGTGTGTGTGTGTGCGAGTGTTTGTGTGTCTATTTACCACCACAAACCAATGCTGGCACTGAGACCGCACTCAACGAGCTGTATAGGGCCATAAGCAAACAAGAAACTGCTTATCCAGTGGCGGCGCCCCTAGTGGCCGGTGATTTTAATACAGGGAAACTGAAATCCGTTTTACCTCATTTCTACCAGCATGTCACCTGTGCAACTAAAACTCTAGATGACCTTTACTCCACACACAGTCCCTGTACCCAAGAATGCCAAGGTAACCTGTTTAAATGACTATCGCCCCGCAGCACTCACATCTGTAGCCATGAAATGCTTTGAAAGGTTGGTCATGGCTCACATCAACACCATCATCCCAGACACCCTGGGCCCATTCCAGTTCGCATACCGCCCCAACAGATCCACAGATGACGCAATCTCTATTCTCTACTCCACACTGCCCTCTCCCACCTTCACAAGAGGAACACCTATTAGAGAATGCTGTTCATTGACTACAGCTCAGCGTTCAACACCATAGTGCCCTCCAAGCTCATCACTAAGCTAAGGACCCTGGGACTGAACCCCTCCCTCTTGAAGTGAATCCTGGATTTCTTGACGGGCCGCCCCCAGGTGGTGAGGGTAGGCAGCAACACATCCGCCACTCTGACTCTCAACACGAGGGCCCCTCAGGGGTGCGTGCTTAGTCCCCTCCTTTACTACTTGTTCACCCACCATCATTAAGTTTGCTGACGACGGTGGTGAGACAGCCTATAGGGAGGAGGCCAGAGACCTGGCAGTGTGGTGCCCGGACAACAACCTCTCCGTCAACGTCAGCAAGACAAAGAAGCTGAGACGGAGGGCCGAGCACGCCCCCATTCACATCGACGGGGCTGTAGTGGAGTGGGTTGAGAGATTAAGTTCCTTTGTGTCCACATCACTAAGGATCTATCATGGTCCAAACACACCAACACAGTCGTAAAGAGGGCACGACAACACCTATTTCCCCTCATGAGGCTGAAAAGATTTGGCATGGGCCCTCAGATCCTCAAAACGTTATACAGCTGCACCATTGATAGCTGCAACTCGCTGTTGGCTGGCTCCTGCTGTGCCATTAAACCCTACAACTCCAGAGCCGCAGCCCTGGGTACCCGTTCCCACGCACCCCTCCTCCGCACACCACTGGCTTCCAGTGAAGCTCCATCTGCAAGACATCTGACGGGCTGTAGGGTCGGCATCCTACTAGGCCTGATTCCCTACCCAACGAGGCATTGTTCTCCCTCTGCTGTGCTCCCACTCCACTAGTCCACTCGCCATCAATGTCGCTGCTCTGCACCCCAAAAAAAGCTCCCTCACGACGCCAGGCAAGACACTCACCACCTATTTACCCCCTCTATGATCGGTGGATAAAGATTTGCTGCCCCTCAAATAATCAAAAAAATTTATAAAAAGATATTGCAAATGGTATCTCCTTAAGGGTGCAATCACCTTTGTAGGCACTCTGTAGCTCTGCTAGACTGCAATGTACATGTATAGTAGGGTAGTGCGTATGGCCAAGTACATCACTGGGGCCAACCTCCCTGCCATCCAGGACCACTATACCAGGCAGTCAGAGGAAAGCCTTAAAGATTGTCAAAGAATCCAGCCACCCAAGTCATAGACTGTTCTCTCTGCTACCTCATGGCACGCAGTACTGATGCACCAAGTCTGGAACCAAGAGGACCCTGAACAGCTTCTACCCCCAAGCCATAAGACTGCTAAATAGTTAATTAAATAGTAAACCAAATATCTACCCGGACTATCTGCATTTACCCTTTTTGCACTAACTTTTTTGACTCATCACATATGCTGCTGTTACTGTTTTCTATCTATCCTGTTGCCTAGTCACTTTATTATATTGAGGTAGATATACTACCTCAATTACCTCGTACCCCTGCACATCGACCCTGTGTACATTATATATCCAAGTTATCGTTCCTCATTGTGTATTTATTATTACTTTTATTATTATGGTTTTCTATAAATGTTTCTTTCTCTCTGCATTGTTGGGAAGCATTCACCTGTTGTTTGTTATGAAGCATGTTACAAAGAACATTTGATTCGATTTAATTTTTGTGTGTGTGTGTGTGTGTGTGTGTGTTACCTGTCTGGGAATGGCTCCATGGTACCAGGCGTGGCTGCATGGCTCCTCACTGCCCATTTTCAGCTCTTCCTCCAGCTCCTTGCGTAGTTTCTCCGGCGTGCCCTCCATTATGTACTTGTCCCTGGAGAACTGCACATAGACAGGAACAACAGCTTCTTTCAGTACTGGGATCCTCACAGACATGGATGCTGCACTGAGAGGGCACACTGTGTGCACTGCACTGGCTGCCTGCGCCTGTCTGTGTGTCCTGGTAAACCTTTTTAATGTAACGCTTCCTCTACTGTATCTACCTCTCACACGCTCTCTTTCTCTTTCTCTTTCTCTTTCTCTCTCTCCCTCTCTTTCTCTCTGTGAAGCAATGTGTCATACATGGCTCTCCTCCCCTCTTTGTGTCCTGGGCTGTAATTTCCCAGAGCCACACCATGCCGAAGGCTCCAATTGGCGAGGGCTCTACCTGCCTCTGCTTTGACTGCTGTGTCATATCCTGGCCTTGTTGCCACGCCCCTCTGCCCTGCCCCAGTGAGAGGCCTCAGGGCGGAACACAACACACCCACCTCCACCCCACCTTCCTCACCTGACTGCTGTGACACACTCACTCCTATAGAGTGCAGTGTGTACACGACCAATACATTTTTATTGGATTTGATTTGAAGAAGTCCAGTATGCCGGGCTGTTGTGTGACACACTATGATTTACAGTATCCTTGTCCATTCACACACTAGAAAACACACATTGTGTCAGATTGTCAGACATATAGCAAAAAGGGGGAAGTGATGACCTCATTTCTCAGCTTCATATCTCAGCAGGTTCCTGCCAGGAAATACCTCTCAGGTCCATCATAAAAGTGACTCACCACAAGTCCTGCTTCAATGAAAACCTATCCTCCTTTACAATCAATAGACTTCACCTACACACTCTCTTCCTGCTTTGGCTTATATTTTGTAAACACATTACAAAAGGATTGGTCTGTTGTTGTGCAACCTCTCAGTCTGCCCGCAATATCTCACTATCTACAGTGCCTTCGGAAAGTATTCAGATCCCTTGACTTTTTCCTTATTCTAAAATTGATTAAAGTATTTTTTCCCCTCATAAATCTACACATAATACCCCATAATGACAAAGCAAAAACAGGTTATTAGAAATTTCTGCTAATTTATTAAAAATAAAACACTGAAATATCACATTTATATAAGTATTCAGACCTTTTACTCAGTACTTTGTTGAATCACCTTTGGCAGCAATTACAGCCTTGAGTCTTCTTGGGTATGACGCTACAAGCTTGGCACACCTGTATTTGGGGAGTTTCTCCCATTCTTCTCTGCAGATCCTCTCAAGCTCTGTCAGGTCTCTCCAGAGATGTTCGATCAGGTTCAAGTCCGGGCTCTGGCTGGGCCACTCAAGGACATTCAGAGACTTGTCCCAAAGCCACTCCTGCATTGTCTTGGCTGTGTGCTTAGGGTCGTTGTCCTGTTAAAGGTGAACCTTCGCCCCCAGTCTGAGGTCCTGAGCACTCTGGAGCAGGTTTTCATCAAGGATCTTTCTGTACTTTGCTCCGTTCATCTTTGCCTCAATCCTGACTAGTCTCCCAGTCCCTGCTGCTGAAAAACCCCACAGCATGATGCTGCCACCACCATGCTTCACCGTAGGGATGGTGCCAGGTTTCCTCCAGACGTGTCGCTTGGCATTCAGGCCAAAGAGTTCAATCTTGGTTTCATCAGACCAGAGAATCTTGTTTCTCATGGTCTGAGAGTCTTTAAGTGCTATTTGGCAAACTCCAAGCGGGCTGTCATGTGCCTTTTACTGAGGAGTGGCTTTCGTCTGGCCACTACCATAAAGGCCTGATTGGTGGAGTGCTGCAGAGATGGTTGTCCTTCTGGAAGGATCTCCCATCTCCACAGAGAAACACTAGAGCTTTGTCAGAGTGACCATCGGGTTCTTGGTCACCTCCCTGACCAAGGGCCTTCTCCCCCGATTGCTCAGTTTGGCCGGGCGGCCAGCTCTAGGAAGAGTCTTGGTGGTTCCAAACTTCTTCCATTTAAGAATGATGGAGGCCACTGTCTTCTTGGGGACCTTCAATGCTGCAGAACTTTTTTGGTACCCTTCCCCTGATCTGTGCATTGACACAATCCTGTCTCGGGGCTCTACGGACAATTCCTTCGACCTCATGGCTTGGTTTTTGCTCTGACATGCACGGTCAACTGTGGGACCTTATATAGACAGGTGTGTGCCTTTCCAAATCATGTCCAATTAATTGAATTTACCACAGGTGGACTCCAATCAAGTTGTAGAAACATCTCAAGGATGATCAATGGAAACAGGATGCACCTGAGCTCAATTTTCGAGTCTCATTGCAAAGGGTCTGAATACTTAGGTAAATAGGGTATTTCAGTTTTTTATTTTTAATACATTTGCAAAAATGTCAAAAAACCTGTTTTCACTTTGTCATTATGAGGTATTTTGTGTAAATTGCTGAGGAGTTTTTTTGTTTTAATCCATTTTAGAATAAGGCTGTAACGTAACAAAATGTGGAAAAAGTCAAGGGGTCTGAATACTTTCCGAAGGCACTGTATGTCGATATATGATCAGAGTTATACTGAAATGTCACTCCTGTGGCACCACTCGTGGGATTAAACCGAGCCTCAGTTTTCCACTTCATTAACTAGAGGTCCAGTAGACCCAGCCAGAACAACACACCACAATCCATAATGTTTTATAACTGTGTTGCTCTTTAAACCAACCCCCTGGAGATGGCAGGCAGGATTAGACTCTGGAGGAAAGTACTGTAGCCATTGTGTTCTTTTTGGATGTTGGCACCCGACCTGCGTCTTTCCAAAACACAATCTGAGGATTACTAGGGGCTGCCAAGACCTGGTTCATAAAGAGATGGAGAGGTAAGGAGGTAGTGGGAGGAGGGAGTTGATTGGCTATTCAGCATTGACCCTAAAGGTGAATGATGACCAGTAGGATTGTTGTGTTACATCAACTCAATACCTTCCTCCAATGACCAATATTATACTTGGTTTTCTAAGAAATTATTGTTTGTGTACAACCTCTGCATTAACCTTACTTGCCTATCTTTATCACTGCACACTACAACAATGATCTTTCTGGGAATATTGACAATACAGATAAACATTGATCAACAACAATGTTGTGATATGACAATGGCCTTCGGGGCAGAAACTCTTCACAGCTGTGTTGTTCCCTTTAAGGGACTGAGACAGGACATGAATATATCATATACCCATTTGTCCCCTTCTAAAATAGCATGAGGCCTTCTTGACATTGGCTAACTGTTAGGAATGTTCAGAATGCACAGTGTTTGGCCTATCTGACCACTTCCAGAAGCAGTGACGCGGTATTGTGCCGAGCTCAACAGGCAATTTGCTTCCACTGTTTAACCCAGGGCTAAATCTGTTAGACTGCGTTCACCTTCGACCCCAGAGAGAACATTTGAAGGACTAAATGTGAGTTTTCTGTTGTGGCCGACAGAATTATATGCCAAATAAAACTGAAGTAAGGCTCCAGGAAATTGTGTTTTATTTTCGCGGGTGGAGGGGTTAAGCATTGGAAACTCCAGCTTGAGGTAATATGGAGCTATTTATTTTAGCAGGGTCATTCCATGTAATTTCAGCAAGCCATGACACCCACCATCTCAGATTGTTCTGAAATCATTTCTGTAGTTAGAAAGATAATATTAGCATTCCTACAACATTATTTTGTTGAAATATATTTTGATCTCTGAGAAATTAAGCTAATTAATTAAACCCAAATTGGCTATTAATAGAATTCATATAATATTCAATAAATATAGTACCTAACATCTGATTTGGACCAAACTTGTTTCTAACAATGAGTAAGAGATGAGGTATCCAAAGAAATTGTCAAAAGCCACCCACGGACCCCCCACGCCAATCCCACCCTAACGACAGTATACAGTATCAGTTCGCTATGTCTGACAAGTAGTATGGAGCTGTGGCTCGGAGTATTGTTTCTTCATCCTATGTAATGTATTCTCAGTGAATTTGGTGATGTTTTCTTTTCCCTATTCAGAGGAATTAGTCTTTGAAGTTGTTAGGTTTATGTCCCATCCTACATCCTGATAGTACCAGGTTCTGATAAAATTATATTTCAACAAAATAATGTTAACAGGAATGCTAATCTTATCTGTTTCTAGCAACATAAACAATTTCAGAACAATCTGAGATAGTGTGTGTCAAAATCCTCTTTCTTGTGCTTTATTAGGTGGAACGACCCAGCAGAGAGCTAATTAAGTGGACTGAATCACTGTCAGCTATGGGCTGCTGCTACTGTTTCATATCTGTATATAGTGCATTCGGAAAGTATTCAGACCCCTTGACTTTGACTTGATTTTGTTACGTTACAGCCTTATTCTAAAATGGACTAAATCGTTTTTCACCCTCATCAATCTACACACAATACCCCATAATGAGAAAACAAAAACAGGTATTTAGAAAACCGGAAATATTACATTTACATAAGTATTCAGACCCTTTACTCAATACTTTGTTGAACCACCTTTAGCAGCGATTACAGCCTTGAGTCTTCTTGGGTATGACGCTACAAGCTTGGCACACCTGTATTTGGGGAGTTTCTCCCATTCTTCTCTGCAGATCCTCTCAAGCTCTGTCAGGTTGGATGGGGAGCGTCGCTGCACTGCAATTTTCAGGTCTCTCCAGAGATGTTTAATCGGGTTCAAGTCTGGGTTCTAACTGGGCCACTCAAGGACATTCAGAGACTTGTCCTGAAGCCACTCCTGCTTTGTCTTGGCTGTGTGCTTAGGGTCGGTGTCCTGTTTAAGGTGAACCTTCACCCCAGTCTGAGGTCCTGAGCACTCTGGAGCAGGTTTTCATCAAGGATCTCTCTGTACTTTGCTCCGTTCATCTTTCCCACGATCCTGACTAGTCTTCCAGTCCCTGCCGCTGAAAGACATCCCTACAGCATCATGCTGCCACCACCATGCTTCACAGTAGGGATGGTGCCAGGTTTCCTCCAGACGTGACGCTTGGCACTCAGGCCAAAGAGTTCAATCTTGGTTTCATCAGACCAGAGAATCTTGTTTCTCATGGTCTGAGAGTCCTTTAGGTGCCTTTTGGCAAACTCCAAGCGGGCTGTCGTGCCTTTTACTGAGGAGTGGCTTCCGTCTGGCCACTCTACCATAA